GGCTATGTCATATATGTAATACTTCTATATAGCTAGTTGAGCTCTCAGCGCGGTCCCAACACTACGGTGCAGACAATGCACTACTCTCTTTATTACTCTTTATCACTGTTCAGTTTGTTCAAAAGCGCATGCGTGACATGTATCCATACTGCTTATATTGGCTGCGTTCCGATATTCACTGCCAGTACTGAAAATCTATAGCACATGTGACGTGAAGTATAACCTCAAAATTTTCCCGCAACGCTTGCGCATTACCAATTATTAAACACTCCTCCTACTCTTTTTTGGAGAGCCAATAAACATCTATCTTCTATCCTTCAGTGTTGGGACAAGTCCCGCTTATGGAAAACTTGCTCAACTAGCCATATAGGAATATTACATATATGGGCTATGTCTTACGGTCTTAAGTAATTTTATGTGTGATGGCCTTTATGGCTAGTTTACAATGAAGATAATAAGGCTGTAGGAGTAGAGAGTAAACTATTTTTTGATGAAAAAACGACGGGACTTACAAAATGGGCAATTCTCATTTCGCACTGCCTACTGCTTTACTGTTAGCCAATGAAAGACGTGTGTTAAAAAACGCGAAATAATTACTTGTAGACAAAAATGAAATAACTCCAAGAATCTTACTTCTTACTCTACACTCGATTCAATTAGAGAAGAGAATTTCGACGAACAAAAACTTGTCCGTTTCGCGCGGGCGTGTTCCGTTTGACCACAGTACGATTCGACACCGATCGATTCGACACAGAACAAGCACTATGCATCGTGACTGTGGCGGTTAAGAACTCTGCAGCGGTTATAGGTAAGCAGCTAGTGGTAAGCAGCGTGGATGAGGCTTAAGCTGGTGAATAAGACGTCGTGAACTCGTGTTAACTTGCGTGATGTATTTACAGGCTATGTACAGTACTTTATACACAGTTATTTTTGGATTTATTATATGGGCCCTGAAAAGGGCCGTTTGTATCCGACGGCTAAATGCCGGGTCCCTCTTGCCACTGAAGGTGTGGCTTGCAGCGAGTGGTGTGAATCCGCCTTGAGGACCCGCGTACCTCCGACTGCGCCCGCTTGCTCTTGCGCTGGTGGATTGCTGCGAGCTGCTTTACCGGCGGAGTGGAGCAGACCTTGCCGGAATCACTCTTCTCCGGGATCTCCGTTTGTGTCGCTTGATCTCTATGTTCCGGTTCCTCCCAGTCGGAATCGGCCTGGCATCCCTGTTCCCGGGTAATCGGCACGTACTGCGTCCCTCTGTTGACCGGCGCTGGTTGATGAGTGTTGGTGCTCCGGGTGGTCTTGCTCAGGACGGTCTGCGTGGCACACTCCGTGGAGCCGGGTCGCAGCGGTGAAATCAGACGAGGTAGAGCGGTGAAATCCTCCCTCGGCGAAGTATATCTCCACACCCGGATGTCTGCGGGGCAGAGGAANATCCTCGGTGGTCTCGTGAGCCGCTTCCTGGTGATGTCGACGGGTATGAGTCGCCACGGGAGAAGGTCCCACTGCACGTGCCGCTCCTTCACGTAGACCTGGTCCGTGAATCCGTTATCCCCTGGTGATCGGGGGGTTCTGGGTCTAGTGCCGGATGGCTTTAATATTCCTCTCTTTATGATGCTGCGTAGAGAACCTCAGATGCTACTCGCAATACTGAAGTGTACTCTTGTTAGCACTCGAAAGAGCGAGGATGATTAGCCACACTTTGATAAGCCGGTTATAAAGGCAGAGTCGCAAAACTCTCTACCGCNCCACAGGTNGTTTACCTGCGCCGCATAGTGGCGGCGCGCTGAAGCGCTGCCTGCCGCAACGGCCTGCTTTCGGGAAAATCGCGACGCCGTGCATTATGCGTTGTACACGGCTGCGGCCCTGGTTGCCTATTCGTAGGCGTTGTGGTGGCTGCTCTTAGTCGCCACAGGACCCCCTTCGTTGTGGGGAGACCTATCAGAACTGAAACCTTATTGTTGGTTTAAGCTGTCTGCCAGCTTGTGAGTGTGTCCTTTGGGTTGCTTTGCTCTCTTTTTCTGCTTTCCTTGGAGATGTAATATCTTCCTCTAGGATGAAAGCTGGCTTCAGTCGGTCTATCGAGATGTTGACCGGTTTACCATTAATTCGCAATTTGAACGTCTTATCACTTCGGTTGAGCACCTCGAATGGTCCGTCGTACGGGGGTCTCAATGCGCCACCCGTCGGTAGATCGTGCCGCACAAATACTTGAGGTGTTGTGTCCATATCCTTAAATATGAACGTTGATGTTTGACCGTGCCGCTTTACTCTTGGCTGCAAGTTCTTCACGGCTTCCCTCAATCGGCCGATGTAATCGTCAGTATGACTTGACTCTGCTTGCTCATGCAGGAATTGCCCGGGCAGCCGTATCGGCTCGCCGAACACCATTTCCGCTGCCGTGCTTTGTATATCTTCCTTCCAGGCCGCGCGCAATCCCATTAACACGACCGGTAGTGTTTCCGTCCAGTTCGTTGATTGGTGGCACTTGATTGCTTCCTTCATCTGCCTATGGAATCGCTCCACCATCCCGTTTGCTGCCGGGTGATATGCCGTCGTTCGCCAGTGCGTTGAACCCGTTAGCTGGGTTAACCGCCGGAACAGGTCCGACTCAAACTGCCTACCCTGATCCGTCGTTACTCTAAGCGGCGTCCCGAACCGGGCTATCCATTCGCTGAACAACTGATGTGCTACCGTTTCTGCGGTGATGTCTTTAATCGGTATTGCTTCCGGCCACCTTGACAGCCTGTCGACGATTGTTAGGCAATATCGGTATCCTCTTGACATCGGCAATGGGCCTACTATGTCTACATGGATGTGTTCGAACCGCCTGCTGGGTCCTACAAAGCTCCCGATTGGTGCTTTGTTATGTCTCGTTACCTTGGACTTCTGGCACTGGATGCATGCTCGAGCCCACGTCATACAGTCTTTCCGTACGTTTGGCCACACATACCTTTGCGTAACGAGTTTTGCTGATGCTTTCGTGCCCGGGTGTGCCAAGTTGTGTAGCGACAGAAAAATTCTCCGCCGTAAGGCTTCAGGGACGTACGGCCTTATTATAGCTGTGCTGTGGTCGCAGTACAAGCTGAGTGTCGTTCCTGGCGCTTGTGTTTTCTTCCACCGTAGTCCTCCCTCTTCTGTCAACAAGGCTTTTAATTCTTTGTCGCCGCTCTGCTCCTCTACTAGTTCCTCCAGGCTGACGGCTTTCTCGATTGCCTCTACTCTAGACAGTGCATCGGCTACCACATTTTCCTCGCCAGCTATGTGTCGCACGTCCGTGGTGAATTGCGCGATGTACTCTAGATGCCTTGCTTGCCGTGGCGAACTTTTTAACGGGTCCTGTTTAAATGCATAGATCAGCGGCTTGTGGTCAGTGAATACCGCGAACGATCGTCCCTCAAGCATGTGTCGGTATTGTTTCACCGCTAAATAGACGGCTAGGAGTTCTCGATCGTACGGGCTATACTGCCTCTGTGCGTTTGTCAGCTTCTTGCTATAGAAGGCGAGTGGCTGCCATTTCTGCCCGGACTTCTGCTGTATAACAGCGCCGACAGCGCTGTCTGATGCATCCGTCGTGACTGCCAGTTCTGCTTCTGGCTCTGGGTGTGCTAACAGCGCGGCTTGCGAGAGGCTCTCCTTACTTTTGATGAAAGCTTGCTCTGCCTTCTCTGTCCAGGTTACCGGGCTCCGTCCTTTGCATCTAGGTCCTTTTAATAGCTCGTTTAACTCCGCCTGCACTTCGGCTGCCTTAGGAATAAATCGCCGATAGAAATTTAACATTCCGAGGAACTGTCGCAGTTGTTTGATAGACTGTGGTTTCGGGAATCTTTGAATTGCTTCTACCTTCTCCGGGAGTGGTTTAGTGCCGTCCTTCGTTACCATATAGCCCAGGAACTTCACACTCTTTTCTCCGAACGTGCATTTTGCTGCATTGATCCTGATGCCGTATTCCTCCAGTCTTCTAAAGACCTCTCTCAAATGTTCCCTGTGTTCCTCCGTTGTTGTGGAGGCTACCAGAATGTCATCGATGTACGCATAGCAAAATTGCAAGCCATGCAGTACTTCATTAATGAATCTTTGGAATGTTTGCGCCGCGTTCCTCAACCCGAAAGGCATGTACAGGAACTCGTACAGTCCGAAAGGCGTTGTTACGGCTGTTTTTGGCACATCCTCTGAGTGGACCGGGATTTGATTGTATGCTCGTACCAAATCGAGCGTTGAGAAGATTTTTTTTCCTTGGAGAGTTTGAGCGAAATCTTCGATGTGCGGTATCGGGTACTGGTCTGGTATCGTTCTTGCGTTTAATCTTCTATAGTCGCCGCATGGTCGCCAGGCGCTATCCCTCTTGGGCACCATGTGGAGCGGTGCTGACCAGGGGCTCCTAGATGGTCTAATGATGCCTTCCTGTAGTAACAAAGCAAACTCAGCTTTGGCCGCGTGCAGCTTTTCTGGTGCTAGCCTCCTCGGCCGTGTCGACTCGGATGGTCCTGGAGTGACAGTAATGAAGTGCTCCGTTCCATGTTTCACCTCCTTCCTTGTGCCTCCGGCTCGTGTCAGCTCTGGATATTGTTCGAGGATTTGGTGGTAAGGCGTATGGCCCTCCAGGGTTTTTACCGACGCCGTTCTTGTATATGTTGCCGTTCCGGGCGCGCTGAGCCCGGTCTTCCCATCGACCAATCTTCTCTTTTTTACATCGGGTAAGAGATGGAAATGTGCTAAAAAGTCTGATCCAATGATCGGTTGTAAGATGTCCGCCACCACGAAGCGCCACAGGAATGCTCTTCGCAACCCGAACTCTGGTTGTATGGTGACTGTCCCGAACGTCGGGATCCTTGTTCCGTTAGCGGCGTACAGTTCAAATGTCTGCGCTGTCCGACCCGTGTTTCGTGTTAGCCTCCGTGGGTAGATGCTGACGTCGGAGCCTGTGTCTACTAAGTATTTCGTCCGTGTCTTTTTGTCTACCATGTAAAGGCGGCGTGGACCTGGGCTTTCATCATTTACCGCCATTAATGACTGCCCTCTTCGTTTTTTTTCTTGAACGCGCAGGGTTGTGCGCACCTTCGAGCTTCTGCACCGAATCGTCGGTGGTAGTAACAGATGTCCTTGTCCCTGTATTCGCCTCGTCTAGGTCGGCTCCTTGAACGACTCCTAGATCGGGCTCTGTCCTGCTTCATAAGTTTAGCCATTTGTGCGGTGAGTGCCGCGACCTGCTTCGTGAGTGCCTTAATTTGGCACGTTGTTGTGGTTGCCGTTGTCGTTGCCTGCGTTGCTACCGCTGCTGCTGCATGCGGGGTAGTGGCTAGGACGACTGCTCGGTTGCTTATTTCATGTATCCTGTCTGCTTGCTCGGCGACGCTGCTCAACTCGTCCTCGGCTCTTGTTGCCAAAATGGCCTGTACCTGTGATGGCAGTCGCCCGAGCCATAGCGTTCGCAGCAGCCTATCTGACACGGTGGTACCAGCGAGGGTTTGCAGATGGCGTAGGAACTGCGATGGCTTCCTGTCTCCTAGCTCTTCCTGTTCCAGGAGTTGCCGAATTCGCTGTTCTTGAGAATCGGTCAGGCGTTGTATCAATGCCTTTTTGATCGCTGCATATTTGTTTCCTGACGGGGGTTGTGTTATTACGTCCTTAACTTCCCTTGCTTGTCGTGGTTCTAACTTTGACAGCACGTACGCGTACTTTGCTTCGTCGCTTTTCATCTCGCAGATAGCAAATTGACTCTCCAGCTGTGCAAACCATAGCTCAGGGTCTTCTGGCCAGAACGCCGGTATCCGTATTGTCGCCTTGCTGCTCAACGTCTCATCGTCATTTAAGCAGATAGTAGTATCTTGTTTCTTCGCCATTTTTAGATCACGTCGGGGTCACCAATGTGGCGGTTAAGAACTCTGCAGCGGTTATAGGTAAGCAGCTAGTGGTAAGCAGCGTGGATGAGGCTTAAGCTGGTGAATAAGACGTCGTGAACTCGTGTTAACTTGCGTGATGTATTTACAGGCTATGTACAGTACTTTATAC